CAGTGTTGCCTATACTGTAATTTCTCCTTGCTAGGGCAAATCAACCTGCTCTGAGCTCTCTTCTGCCATGGGCACGCTGCTACTGCTTCCAGAAACGGCCAGTTTAAAACCAGTTTGCATAACTCTACAGTTCCTTCCTTTCCAGAGGTGCTATACACATACCTTTAGAAACAGCGATGCCTACGAGGTAGGAACCTGCTCAACTCTTGAAATCCAGGCAGCCCGTTTTATGGGAAGGTGGTTGTACCGAGGAGTACAGCAATTCTTGTATTCCTAGGACAGCAATGGACTTCTGCCCAGAGGCGTGCAGCCTCCCTGACCAGTCCAGCTTGTATTTGAACAGTTATGACAATATATTCTTAAGAATTTTTAAGTATTTTCTAGTCACGAAAAAGCAGTTAACACCACTCCAGAGCATCAAACTCCATTGGAACATGTCCTGGGTTTTTTTGATAACACTTTCTCCAGTGTAACTACCTGTCCCCCATCCTTGCACCGATGGCGGAAGGAAGGTGACTAACCCATCAACCCTTTGGGCCCTCGCCAAGGTGACAGAAAACCAAAGCCTCAGTAGAGACTGAGCAGAGCTGCGATGAGAAGGGTGTAAAACCACTACACCCATTAGTTACAAGGGAATCAAACTGGTTTTTCATGAGGTGTCATTACAAAGCCCTGCCAAAATGCCAGACCTCACCTTCCTAATAGCAGGTAGCAGAACAGAATCGTATATCCTTGACTACTTAGCGCTAGAATACGATAATCTCACCCATGGTCTTGAAGACACACCTGCACAGGAGGTCAGGAGCTCTCAGCGCTGAAAGAAAACGATCTTGTCAGCAAATGCCGGGCAAAAGAGAGGCTGTGGCCGCGTGCCAGCCTGATGGCATTGCTAAGACAGTAAAACATGTGCAATCTGGTAGCAGAAACACCTCAAACATGCTCTGTTGCAAGTAGGGAGATGCCTATTTATTTCTCATCACCAGCTCAGCAAGCTTCCTCTGGGCTCTGAGGCAAACAAGTCGCTTTCCCTCTCCCATAATAAGGACCAAAGTTGCACCATCACTTACATCTGTGGACCTGGCACTTTCCAAAGGCTTGCACAAGCGTTAGCGAAACTCAGTCAACAATTCTCTCAGGCAGCAGAGTCCAACCCACTCATGCAGTGTTTGCAGCGCTAAAAGGTGTGGAAACTCAGTACCAGTGCTTGGTGATCGCTAGCATCAGCAGATCTGAACACCATGTGAGGATCTACGGAGTCAAGAGGTACCCCTTTCGGAGCTGCCCAAAAGGCTGCGTTTGAGCATTGTAATGCATCGCAGGACCCTGTATTTATACGTCACGGAAGGTACCGAGCTTCCACAGTGGGAGCCACACGCTTGCGTGATGCAAACGTTATCCTCCACCCAAAACCTCCTACATATCCACGTCAGGCTTGAATTAAGTTTGCCTCTGTGCCTTTTTGCTCACTGGACATGCAAGATAATTTCTGACCTGCTTTTTCATCAATTGGTCCTCTTACCTGTTTCAAATAATTACAGCCAAGCCACCTTTTTTTATCATTTTTTGGCCCTGAGGTGTGTCTGGACAACAGCTTCCCCCACACTCTAAGGGCAAGACTGAAAGGTATTTCACAGGCTGTAACACTCCTCCTGTGCCTATGTCCCCTTTGCAATCCCTCCGCAAGAGGGGAGATGGGGTTCTTGGTTACCTTAACTTCACCTAGAAAAGCACTTTTATTCCCCTCTTCCCCTCCCTCTCCTTTCTCTAGGGTAAGCAACAGAAGATATCTCCTTTATCTTTCCCACTGCTTGTCAAACCAAAACCAGTCTCAGGTCAGCAAAATTAGGACCCGCAGCAAGAAAAAGCCAGGAAAGCAAAGTGAGAGAGATAAGGAGTTTGACAAGAATGCTCTAGGAAAGTCTTTGAAGTCTTTAGCAGCTCCTGTTGAGCATTACTAAGAACGATGGATTGCAACTGCCTTTGACCCTAGATATTTGGAAGGAAGTTTGATAATGGCAATTTTGCTTTGCAGCCTCCTGCTTGTTTGCTTGCTGACACACACACATGATACAGGTTGCAAAGAGGTGGCATGACAAATAAATCACAGGCAGGTAGGTACCGAAGGGTCTCATTGGCTTGCCCAGAAAACACAAGCTGGGATCTGTGCAGGTGCTTATTAGGATGGGAAACTGAGTTGAGAGGAGGAGGCTTGATCGGGGATAGAAGCAGCTATGGATAAAGCAAGGTTCCTCCTCTGTTGCGGCCAGGGGTACAGGCCCAGCAAAGTCAGGCTCCACCACAGCAACAATGCCTGTTTACTTCTGGTTTGGAAAACAGAAGCTAGTCAGGTGCCAGAAGAAATGCTGGGAACTGCCCTAATTATATAGGGAGTACCAAGTCAAACCGACTTCAGCATGATGCAATGCTTCTTTCCATGCCCAGCTCTGGGAAACTGCTCGCCCCCATACAAGCAAACCTCTGGTTTGCTCTTCTTGCATTAACCAGACACGTGAGGGTAATCATATCGCCTGCTGGGTTTTTATCCAGCAGACTTGAACTTCCAGTGCCTCTTGTTTCTGTAGCACCTTCTGGTTGTCACCTTCACCTCTTACCTTGACAGTCCTCCCAAGACACAGGGAGATGAGTAACCCTCCACTGGAACTGTGTCCAAGGACCGAGAAACAGCATTTTGGGGACTGAGCAAAGCTGCAAGGCAGATCCAGCTGGGAAATGCCACCTAGAGGCCAAAACGTGCTTTTACCTATTTTTTTATGTTTGACTTCATGTAATTGTGGTACTTGCTCCTTTCACTTCAGTATGGTCGTTCTCCCACCACCTCTCTGTGCGAGGGCAGTGTTATCCCTACTCTGCAGTCGAGGAGCTGGAGTTCTCTGCTGTGCTGCAGCAGGAGTCCCAAAAGCAGTGCCAGCTTTTCCGGGCAGCACTGCACCTGACCTGGAACACGCTGTCCCTCAGGGCTTTCTGCGCTCACCAGCTTGGCTTTAGCAGCTACCTCTACTGCACATAGCAGAGGTGCGTCTGAGTTGTCCATTTGCACAAAAGGCCATTCCTCTAGTAACGAGCTACGAGCTTAGCGTCAGTCGACTCCATTACACAATTCAGAAGTTCGGCAAGATTCACGGAAAGGAGCAAGGAACCAACATACTCCACTCCTTCCTCATCCCTTAAAGCAGGTGGGACGCCTGGCCTTTTAAAAAACCTTGGGAATAAAGCCATGTCTCTCAGCTAGGAGTGGTTTCACCATATGAGCGGTCTTCTTATATGTCACTTTTTTTTTTTTTTTTTTAATCTATATGGGGCACTGGTACACACTTACAGAAACAGTGAGGGAAGGAAGGGTCTTTCCATTAATGCTGTATTTGTGCCGGCACGTTGGTGCATCACACGGAAGCTAACACAGCTTAAATCTCTGAAAGCAGCATCTGTCTCCCACTCAAATGGGATGTGAGGTGACACAAGCAGGTTCCAGAAAACCTGGGAACCACAGGGCTTTTTTTTTTTTTTTAAACAACATGCTGCTGAAGAATTGCACTCTGGAATTCAAGTTTTAAATATTTAACCCTGCAGCCTGGGGAAAAAAAAAAAAAAAAGCCCAAGGTGACTGACTGGTGCAAACCAGAACTGCATGAACTGTCCCAAACAACTGGCTGGTATTTACTTCAAGATCGAGCAAGGCAAAGGTTGATAAAACTAGTTAGCTGTTAAAGCAGCAAATAAAAACTTCCAGGAAAAATAGCCCAACATAAAACTACCCAGAAAATAACTAGAAGTTTAAAAAAACCCCTAATTTCTAAGCAGCATATCGAGCTCCCAGATGAGGTTAAGGCTCATTTGAGTGAGGCACTTCCCATATTTCTGAAATTTGGAACACCAAAGCTCCTGGGGAGCCAGGAGCTGGCACGGAGGGAAGTTCCAACTCTAACCTAAACCCTTCATTTAAAAACAAAACAGAACCGAAGCACTTTGAAAGATTATAGGGTAAAGTACACTTACTATAAATGTCAAGCTAAAGAGTGGTGAACATAGCATTATGATCACCATTTTCTTGCGGAAAAGAGTTTTTTTCATGTACTAAGTGGCCAAAGCCACAAAAATCACCATTACCAGCAATAACACGTCAGACAAGATGAAAGCTTAGTGCAGCAGGATCTTCAGCCAGTGCAGTTCTTGGGGGAAAGCGAGCGAGCAATGGTAAAATAGTATGTGCTGACTGACAACAGCCCCAGCAAATATTTCTGCCCCCCACAAAGGGAATGATTAAAGTCCTGTTCGTGCTGAGATTTTCAGAATGGGATCTGCCCTTTCAAAGATGGAACACAAAATTAGGAAGTCATCTCTTCTTGGTTTATTTGGGTTATTTTTGAATAGAAATAGGCTCCTGCAGCAACAGAGGCACATGCTTCCTTACAAAGAGAGGCCTAGCATGCCTTTTCTCAGGTTTCCTTCTGATGCCTCAGGAAGAAGCCAAATCACCCACCAATCATGGAGGGAACACCAAAACTAGCTTCAATGATTTAAGAGACGGCGGCAGAACTCCTTTTTGGCATGAGTCTCTCTTTCATCGCCCTTGTGTAGAAAAAAGCCAAACCACAGAGAGGAACCAGCCGTGAGAAGTATTTCATTAGCCAGCTATGAGAAGAGGTGGCTGTTGTCACCAGAGCAACAAAACAGAGGACAAGGGCGGAGAGAGAGATGAAGGAATGCTGATGTGCTGGGTTGGGATTGAAGAGGGCACAGCAGGGTGTTTATTCATAGTCCATAGGGTTCAG